CAGGGCTTCAAACCGAACCCCAAAAAGGCCTAAACAAGGATCAGGGCGCCAAACCGACCCAACAAAGGACTAAACAAAGATCAGGGCTCCAAACCGAACCAACAAAGGCCTAAACAAAGATCAGGGCTCCAAACTGACCCAACAAAGGCCTAAACAAAGATCAGGGCTCCAAACCGAACCCAACAAAGATCAGGGCTCCAAACCGAACCCAAAAAAGATCAGGGCTCCAAACCGAACTCAAAAAAGGCCTAAACAAAGATCAAAGCAGCTCCAAATGACTCTGTTTTAAGGGTTAACAACTCTGGCTTCAACAGAAACTGTTGCTTTATCTTATTACTGTTACTAATTACCTATTTTTGTGTTGTTTTTTGTTTCTTAGAGTTACTGGAAGCTCCTTCAGATGCTGATGAGCTGCAGGCCGTGTCCAAAGCCAAGATCCTCTACCGCTCCTGCATGAATGAATGTAAGTAGGACGCCTCCGCCCAGCCTGGTATGGTGGAAAAAAAGGGAAAAAAATAAATCTCTGTGCTAAACAATGTGTGTGAAAAGAGGCAGGCTGAGATGAGCTATCGATCAAAGTCACATAAATGGCTCCAGATACAGAAGGTGATAAATAGATGAGCCTCTGGTGTCACAAAAGCGGACAAACGTCAGTGGAGATGGAGCAGGGAGGCCATTGGCCTAAGACAATATCTGAATCACAGACTGATGTTAATTATATTTTGTCCATGAATACTTTTTAAATATTTCCAAATGGTCTTTCCACTTCTTATATTAGCTTTTCCCCTGGTTGTGCTGCTTCCAGACATGTATTTTCATATTAAAGCATTTAACCAATCACATTTCAGCCATCATTTGTTGCTAGGCAGACAAATGATAAACCTGATGACCTGCAAAATAAATAAAAAATTAAAATACAAAAGGTTACAGAATTTTTTTTATTAATAAATAAAAAAAATAAAATAAATATATATATACGGTATATCTATATATATCTATATATAAACCTGATGACCTGCAAAATAAATAAAAATAAATAAAAAAGGTTACCGATTTTTTTAAATTAATAAATAAAAAAATAAAAAGATATATATACGGTATATCTATATATAAACCTGATGACCTGCTAAATAAATTTTAAAAATAAATAAATAACAAAAAAATATATATATTATACTACATAATAAGATGAATTTTATAGCCATAAAATGGTTATTGAGTGGGGAATTGATTCAGACGGAGCTCTACTGAAGGCCCAGGTGTGAAATGCTCGGTCCTCCACTGGTTTATGTATGATTAATGGTGAACACCACTGGTTGAACATGTTCCCCCCCCCCCCCCTCCCCCCCCCCACCATTTTGAAGCCCTCCTGGAGGACGCGGACGCCAAACCGATGCTGCGGACCCTGCGGCGGCCGGCCTTCCGCTGGCCGCTGGTGGGGGAGGGTCTGGGCGGGGACTACCGCTGGGCCCAGAGCCAGTGGAGCCTGCTGGAGACTTTGGCCCAGATCAGGAACCAGCACAGCAAGAGCGTCCTCATCCGCCTCTACGTCTCCCCCGACGACAAAAACTCCTCCCACTACATCATCAAGGTCAGACGTTGCCAGAGGTGTAGAAAGCACTGGAGTCTCTTTATACCTTATCTGACCCCGCCACGTTAAAGGGGACATATTATGCAAAATCAAGTTTTTAATCATTTGATTGTGTACATTTGGGACTGTGGAGGGCCTAACGGGAGGTAAAGTGGGAAAAAAAAAGACTCAGTCATGTTTTTGTGGGCTGCCTCAGTCTGAATCCAGGACATAAATCAGGAGGTTTCAGGAGTGGGTAGTTTCTGACGTCATTAGCTCTAGCTCATTATAATATTATTATTATTATTATATTAATATTATTATATATTATCTAGCTCATTATAATATTCCAGCCTTTCACCTGCATGTTGCCCCCCCCCTCAGCTTACTCCCCTATCTGTGGCAGACGTCGTGGTAGCGTGAGCGTTAGCATGGTAGCGTTAGCATGCTAGCGTTAGCATGGTAGCGTTGGCATGGTAGCGTTAGCGTGCCGACGTGGGCACACCTCCCTGAAGAAGTGGGTGGATTGGCTGTGTCTCATTTGCATTTAAAGAAACAGGCACTCCAAAGCGAGCGCTCTGAACGGGGCTGTTTTGGGTTAGGGTTAGGGTTAGGGTTAGGCAGGTGGACTGAACTGCTATTGGGCTTCATCCTTATGGGATTTTGACCAAAGCTTGTCACAGACATTACATTAGGACACCAGGGAACTAGCTTAACTTGTTGAAGTAGGGTATAATATGTCTCCTTTAAGTTGGATGGTGTTTCTGTCTCTGTGGAGGTATCTCCTGGGTTAGGGTCTTTGAAAAATTGGAGATGCTCAGTTGATATTAACTTTGACATTGTTGTGTTTTAGCAATATAGGTATCAGCCTCAATAATTCATGGAAATTTATTTTATACTCTGTGTTTTTGAGGTGTTCTGAGAGTTTAGGTGCAAGGAAATTGGGGTCGGAGCTATCCTGAGGTCACCTGGGAAGTTTGAAGTGAGGGGAGAGAAATGTTTGAAAAAGGGGGCGTGTGGGATGAAAAGGAGGTTGGTTGAATCTAAAAGCAACAAATAGTCCGGCCGAACGAATGGTGGTTGAAAAAAAGAAAAATCAGCCAACCAAACCATATAATTGGAAATAAGGAGGCTTGGGGGATTAATCTAGTTTATTAATTCAAATAAAGTACAGATACTATATTTTGGTACTTAAATACAGTACTTAAGAAGTTCTACTTCCTTACTTTACTTCTCTGCCTCTCACTCTTTGAACTCCAGATTTTCACTTCTTAAACCCACATTGAATAGGACTAAATAGAAGCGACCTGCCTGAGTTTTATGGAAGGAAACAATCTGTTTTTGTTGTTCAGTGAGCAGGTTGCGTTTGAAAGATGGCGAGTCTTTATTTCCGCTCTAACGTTCTGCAGAGCAGCACACTCTGACACCAGTTATCCGTCTTCCTTTAGCTCGATCAGGCTTCCTTGTCTCTGCCCTCCAGGGAGGACTACACCACCAACACTTCCTCGGCTAAGATGGTGAGTTTCTGCCCCATTTTTCTCTTCCCCGTTCCCGAAATAAATCTTTTTCCTGCAGCTTGACGCATGCAGACTGGAAATAAAACCAGTGAAGTCTCTGAAAACTTACTTCCCCTTTTCAGAAGAATCCAACAATACACGTTATATTCTCTCTTTGTAGATTAATTTAGGATTTTTCCATAAATAAATTAGATAAAATCATACATTTAATGAACTGAAACTGTAGCAGAAGAGCATCTGAATGCAGGTTTCATACTAAGCAGTTTTTAACCCTGTAATGCCAAATGTGTCATATTTGATTCATACTGTTTCTGAAATGTTTTGCGTCTGACACCTTTTGCATAATTTAATGGTAAAAACTTTGCTCAAAATCCTATTGTACACAATCAGATACACCTGATAACAGGGGGCAGAAGACTACACAAAAAGTAATCTTGAATTATCGAATAGTAATAAATTATTAATATTAAATATGTATTTCAGTTTTTTCTTTTTACATATTTTGTTAAAAGGCAAAATAAAAAAAAACCCCAAAAAGTAATTTTCTGTTTTGTTTTATTCTTGTATCAGGCTTTAAAGGGTTAAAAGGATCAATCTATTTTATTTTATTTAACTCATTGACTGCCGGCCATTTTCAGAACAGAGTCCCTTACTGCCAGAGTTTTTTGAGCATTTTGACTGATTTTTCAAGAGCCACAGAATAGTTTGTGCTATGACTATGTAAACACCGAACACACCAAAAGAAAGAGTAGACTCTCTTCTTTCATCAGGAAAAAAAAATTGTTTCTACCTTATTCCGTTGTTCCTGGACTTGCGTCTCACCGGCGACATGTTCTCTCATAGAACCGTTACCTTTTTCTTATTTGCCTACAGTCTATGCTCATCTCCCATCAAAAGTGGCACTGCCCCCTAGAGGGTCAATTTGTTACTACATACTCTGTCTAGAAGCCTGATATTTACGGACAAGCTTTAGCAGATCGTCCCCCAGCCACTCTCAGTGAAAATCATAAAAGACGTCTACAGGACTGTCTCAGAAAATTAGAATATTGTGATAAAGTTCTTTATTTTCTGCAATGCAATTGAAAAACATCAAATGTCATACATTCTGGATTCATTACAAATCAACTGAAAGATAGCAAGCCTTTTATTGTTTTAATATCGCTGATTATGGCTTACATCTTAAGAAACCCAAATATCCTATCTCAAAATATTAGAATATCGGATTTTTGAGTTTTCTTCAGCTGTATACCATAATCAGCTATATTAAAACAATAAAAGTTGATTTGTAATGAATCCAGAATGTATGGCATTTCATGATTTTTTAATTGCATTACAGAAAATAAACAACTTTATCACAATATTCTAATTTTCTGAGACAGTCCTGTATGGACGTCTTTGGCAGTCAACGGTTGTATTTGAATTGACGTCTATAGACGTCTTTGGCAGCCAATGAGTTAATTTAATTTGATTTTGTGTGTGTTTTGTGTCCAGTACCGAGCTGCGCTCCTCAGCCTGATGGTGGACGTGGCCGTGTTGCTTGGCGCCCCGGAGAAGGCGGCCGAGACCCAGATGGAAAAAGCTCTGGCTTTCGAGACCAAACTGGCCCATGTAAAAACATCCCGCCTAATAAAAATGATCCATTATGCACGGGAATGATCAAACGGGTCTGTGCGGCTCGCGCGTTAATTAAAACCGCAGCGCCGGCTCTGAAATATGGTGGCGATTCATCACTTTTTTTGCCAGAAGGGTCAAAGAAAAATGAGTTTCTGTCTGCAGATCCTGATTCCGTACGAAAACCGGACCAGTGAGAGCATGTACAACAGATACACTCTGTCCCGCCTCCAGCGCTCCATCCCACAGGTATCTATCTATCTATCTATCTATCTATCTATCTATCTATCTATCTATCTATCTATCTATCTATCTATCTATCTAATTTAAAAACGATTAATCAAAATCAGTTAAATGTAAATGTTTGGGCTGTTGGAGTCTGATTTTGAAGTTTAATTAATAAGGAAAATAATAATGACCTACCACTCATTTTATGGAACAAAAAAATCCTTTAATTTTTAAACCAAAAAATAGGCTCCTAAGAGGATTTTTCTCTTTTCCGAAAAAGTTCTTGTTAGGAAAAAGATTAAACTATAAAGAATATCACCGTTTATTCATTATTTGTAGATATTTTTTGGTATAAAACCTCCATCTGCTTCCTGTTCCCTTTTTTTTTTTTTTTTTTTTTTTTTTTTTTTTTTTTTTTTCCCCTTCCCTCTTCCTTCCCTCTTTCTTCTCCCCTTTCTCTGTTCCCTTCCCTTTCCCCGTAGCGAAGATAAATCCCTGTATTAACATAACAAAAACAGGACCAAATAAGTATAATTACAAAAAAAAAAAAAAAAAAAAAGGA